TAAAAATTGGGACAAATCAGGAGCGCCTGGGTGGCTAAGTCGGTTAAGTGTCCAACTTCAGCTCAGGTCACGATCTTGCAGTCCATGAGTTCAAGCCCCGCGTCGAGCTCTGTGCTGATAGCTCAGAGTCTGGAGCCTGTTTCAGATTCTGTGTCCCCCTTCTCTCCCTGCCCCTCCCCCACTTATGCTGTCTCACTTTGTCTCTCAAAAAATTAGGACAAATCGATCAATAATTAATATATAAAAACATGTACAAAACATTATGAACAAGATGAAAACCTCCAAAAGAAAAAAAAAATGAGCAAAGGACACATGCCATCCACACATACACAAAAAAATCCAGAAATGGCCAGTGAACATACAAAAATATATTTCACTTCATTAATAACACAAGTATATGCTAAATATTGTTCTAAGCAGTTTATATATATATTATATATACATTTATATTTATTATTATTTAACCATCACAACAATCTGTAAAATGGGTACTATTATCATCTCCTTTTATGGATGATGAAACTGAAAGGTTAGGTAATTTGTCCAAACTCACACAAGTAGTTAATAAGCAGTGATGCTGGGATTTCAACTATGTAATTAAAACAAAAATGACAGAGCAAGCATGCACTGTACTAATACCCAAGGTCCCCGGAAAATGGGAACAGACACCCTAGGTAAGAGTATCAATTAGCATAGTCACTCTAAAAGACAGCATGGCAATGAAGTTCAAAAGCCCTACAAATATTTGAAAATTTTCTCAAGCAATAATTCATACCACCCAAGACAGTGATTACATGGGGTGGAGGCACTCCACGGAAAAACACATAAGGAGCCTAAAAGCTGGGAACAAGGACATTCACTTTACTCATCTTTAAACTGTATACAGAGGTTCTATATTCTTTGGATATATTTCACAATAAGAAATCCTTTCTTTCCTTACCATTTTATCTGGACCTTTATATGGACTTGTGACATAAATGTTTTTAAGTAATGACATCCCAAATTAGCCAACATAATGAGAAGAAGGAAAAATAGCAGGGAAATAATCTCAGTAATAGACTCAGTTTGGTAATTAAGCATATTTCAGTTTAGGAGCAGTGGTCAGGTACATCTTTAAACCTGTACTTCATTTCTTAGAATGTATTGTTAAGAAATAAAGGATGTGTAGAGATCTAAGCACAAAAACATTTATTATAGCTTTACTGATAATGGTGATGATTAGAAAAAGCCAGCTGTCACACAATGAGGAATGTCTAAAATATAAGTTCAGGGGCGCCTGGGTGGCTCAGTCAGTTAAGCGGCCAACTTTGGCTCAGGTCATGATCTCGCGGTCCGTGAGTTTGAGCCCCGCGTCGGGCTCTGGGCTGACAGCTCAGAGCCTGGAGCCTGCTTCAGATTCTGTGTCTCCCTCTCTCTGACCCTCCCCTGTTCATGCTCTGTCTCTCCCTTTCTCAAAAACAAATAAACGTTAAAAAAATAAAAATATAAATAAATAAATAAATAAATAAATAAAATAGAAGTTCATGTAAGAGTTTATCTGTAGTAATTTTAAATGATTTTGTAAAGTCCATTTATTGGCATGCGAATATATTAAGTGGGAGAAATGTAAAACATGTACAGTGTGAGTTCCTTTTTATAACATACACACACAATCTAGAAATATGCTCTAAAATATAAATAACAATTTTGCTAATAGAAAAACCTATCACTTATCTGTGTTTTCCAATGTGCGATAATAAATATTAAAATCTTTAAAGAAATGATGTTTGTTTTTTAATTTTAAGGCAAAAGATTTTCATTACCTTCAGTCTTAGGCATTTTTAACAAATGAGTTTAACCCTTCGAGGTTCAAGCTTTTCTCTGCATTTCAGTTAGACTCTGGAAGATACAACAACTCAAGCAACAAAATTGCGATTCCTTAAATTATATTTCTTTTCTATGAAATGGCTGACACTACTGGAATGAAAGAAGAAGAAAGAAGTCTAATGTGTAGTTTACAATACACTTCCAACTTTAAACATGTCTAAGTAACTAAGCCTTAGCATAGTTCTAATTAAGTTCTACAACTTAATTCCAGGGTTTTTTTTCCTCCTTTAGTAATTGGGATTTGGAGCTTTCAAAGACTTCCCCCATAGTATGTATAAATAGTAGAGTCTAAGATATTTTAAGAGTAGGGACAGAAATGGGATAGGGAAGTTGGATGGATGCGTCAAAGTACATGGGGTTTATGAGTCAGGAGATAAGTCACACAGTATGTTAACCTATGACAGATATGCCAAGGAAAAAGTATTGGAAAGAACAGATAAGAGAAAATATGCTGGTGGATGTGTTAGGAAAAGATTTTTCAGAATGAATAACTGACAGGATTATACTAATGCATATCAGATTATCTGTACAGGGGATAGTAAAAATGACTGCGAAAGAAAGTATGGAAATTTCAACTTCAATATAGTCTGTAATGTAACTTCAAAGTGTTAGATGAGAAAATAGTGTTTTCTGTAGAGGCAAGGTGAAATGACAAAAAAATGAAATCAGCTGATTTTCCTAAAGCACTCACTATAAATTCTGATTAGGTATTTGCATTGTTTAAGGACTTCAAAACCACCTACTAAAATATTAGCAAACAGATTTACAGTACATAAAAAATACACTATGATTAAGTGGGGCTCAAATCAGAACTGCAAAGATGGTTCAAGTGTAAGAAATCTACTACTATAATTCAGCATAATGATAGACCAAAAGAGGAAAAAACACACACAATTACAGCAGAATTCTAAAGAAGCATAAACGTTTTCTTGATTTGTAAAACAATAAAAAAGGAATCAGTATTTTTCAACATGCATGAAAAAAAAAGATTTCCTTTAAGTGATTTTTGAGAAATATACAAAAGTCAGTATTAGACTTGAGGGAGGTGCTAGAAGCATTCTCATAAAAGTAAAGGAAGGAAAAAAAAGGGTCTAATATCATTACTAATATTTAATAGTTTTTCAAAGATACTGCATAGTACCATTAAACAAGAGCAGAAAATCAAAAGGTATAGAACTTGAAAAGGAACTCATCATCTTTTGCAAATGATATGACCATTTACCTAGAAATCCAAGAGAATCAACTAAAAAAACTAATTATAAACAATGAAAGAATTCTGTGCTATGGCTAGGGACAAAATTAACATAAAAAATGGTATTCTTTTATATAGAGATAAAGTAATGTAGTAAAATAATTCTTAATAGATACACAAAAGGAGATAAATACAAAAGAAAGTTTTAATATTTAATATACAAGATAATTATGAAGAAAACTTCAAAGTGTTACTGAGAGCAAAACTACTCCCCATTTTAAAGATGAAGTGAAGTGAAGCTCAGAGAGGCACAGGAAGTCTTCCTAACTTGCCTGGCCAGTAAATGGTGACAAAAAAGACGGACCTAGATTTGTCGGACTCCAAAATTCATCTTTTCCACGCAAGATATTGCTGAAAGTTCAGTCAATGGATACTCCATAAGCAAAACCAGAAAAATTCAAGAAACCTTCACTATTTAATATTTTCAATGATTTGAAAGTTCTATTTATTTAAAAAAAAAATTTTTTTATGTTTATTTACTTTTGAGCCAGAGACAAACAGCATGAGTGGGGGAGGGGAAGAGAACGAGGGAGACAGAATCTGAAGCAGGCTGCAGCCTCTGAGCTGTCAGCACAGAGCCCAACACGGGGCTCGAACCCACGAACCGTGAGATAGTGATCTGAGCCGAAGTCAGACACTTAACCAACTGAGCCACCCAGGTGCCCTGAAAGTTCTATTTATAAGCACTTAAAATGTACCCAAGATATTTTTATGAAAGTAACATGAACAAGTTACAGAAAAATCAGAGAAGCTGCCTGAAATAAACTGAATTAGCTCTATCAGGTCCTTGTATTAGGTTCTCAAAAGGAGTAGATGTATATGCACACTTCCCAGGATAGGGAAGATCCCCAGTATTCCCCACACTACCCTGAACAAGAAGAGGGAGAGGGAAAAAAGCTGAGGTAGGCATTTCAATCTGGTCCTTTCCTTAACCATGGCCCTGTGGTACCTACAGTTTGTCCCTGACTTCCTAATCCCCTTCGGTTACTCTGCATTTGTTTTCCTGACATCTTGATTACATTCTTGGCACATGGAACGCTATACTAAATACGAGGCCCCCCCTCTTTTGGCCTATCTCCATGGATCCTAGAATTCTTCTCATGCTAGGTTTTGTTTGTTGGTCCTGTCAGTCACATACTCATCAGTTGTGACTTATAGTTAGTTATGATATTTCTCAAACAGCAGTGGAAAATGGTGCTCGTGCACTCTTCCCTAGATATCAGGTATAGTAATTCTCTTCTCTTGTAGAATTAAACTCTTAAGAACTTAATATTCTACTGTAGTTTGGAAAAGGTAAGCATGGGTACCTGAGGTACAAAGGGAAAGTAAGAAAACAATGGTGAACGAAAGTACAACTATTATAGTTGTAGGGGCAGGACTGGAGAAATGGGTGATGCGAATCCAAAGCTATTCAGAAGTTAACTAGATAACTATATGAAATGAAAGCCTGTGATGAAGACACAAATAAGAAAGGAATATCAGAAGTGCTCTGAATGTATAATACTTACCTTGGCTCTCAGTTCTGAAAACCAACAATTTATAGGCATCAGAACTTTGGGAGAAAAAAGCTAAGTTATCCACAGTCCTATGTACCAGTTAGTAGTTAATTAGAGCCCTCATGCAAGGTACAGCCTGGAAAACCCCATGAAAACAGGTAAATCCTACATTGCTATTCCTGTGATAGTTTTCAGGATACTGAAACTCAAATTTCTCTGAGAGACAGACACTTTACATTGTCCTGCAAAGCTCTTGTGAACAGCAAGACATGGTCTACAGGCAAAAAAGAGGCATATCATAAAAAGAGAAGAGAGAACTCATCACAGAAGGAACTACAGAAGTTCCCCTGTCCCTCAAAGAAAACAAACATTCCTAACATCCTTACCAGTAAACAACATCCAGTGGTGCAAAGTAATTTTTCATTATCAGGTCAGCAAAGTAAGCTTCTGTTTCCCGGCAGGCAGTTCCATTTCCAATCACCACTGTGCTGCAGCTTCAAGGGATAAACAAGATGAGAAATGGAATGAGCTCAAGGCTTGCTTCTAAATGAATCAGGAGAAAACGTACAGAATGCACAAATACTATCATACGATGATCTTACTCTCTCCACTGTATCACAAGGGAGACACAGACTTAGGTAGAATTAAGGGCAATGCCGCTGCATTTGCTATGGGAGGCAGAGGACAAATATTTCACTGTGACACAATTAAGAACAATCAGCTTACTTCCCATCTAGAAGGAACCAAATTTAGACATGGATAAGAAACTCTGGTACATTCTACGCCATAATGAAGATGCCATGCCTGAACTATGTGATATATTGTCAAGTAATCTCTGAAGCTTCAAACTACTATCATATCCATTCAAATCCTCAAGACCATGAAAAAGAATGGAAGAGGAAAGGAGGAAAGAAGGCAGGAAGGACAGATGGACAGGAAGTGAGGGAGAGAGAGAGAAGGAGACAGAGGAAGCCCAAATAAAAGAAGTCAATGCTCACTTTTGCTCATATTACCACCTTTGTTTAGTGAAGGTGGCAGAGGAAGGGAGCAATGTCCCTCCTGAGTCTCCAAATGTAGAGTTCTCCAGCAATTTGCCCCAGCATTGTTTTACATGGTTCCTTCTCTCTCACCAAGGCACTTCCCTGAATCCCTCCCTCCAAATTAGGAGCGTCAAAGGTATCTCTGATTGGCTGAGACAGTGAAGTACTCAAAATGTTACTTATTTTCATACTTGAAATTCAGCAAAAGCCTCTTTATTTTCTCTGCCTCTCGGAAGCCTTGTCCACAATGCAAGTAAACCACATCAGTATGAAGTATCTGACCTTAGAAAAAATGAAAATAAGAAGCCAGTTTGTAACAAATTACAAAACATAACACACAGATGATCTGATTAAGCAATCTGAACCAAAAAAGAGAACTGCTTTGTCTTTTAAAATGCAGCATGAATCATTCATATTCACTAAACTGAATTCTCCCGAAGTACTCTAAAATTTTCTTACCTCCAAAGTTACAAGGACACTACTTTGCTATTTATTATTATTAACAAAATCATTAGATTAAATATCATGATGCCTAAAAGAGAAATAGTTTTTAACAACACCTAATATCAAGCTAACATTTACTGAATATTAACTATGTGCCAGGCAATGTTGTGATACTATTCTATTTCCTCTTTTGGGTTACAGATATGTGAATTTCTTTACCTTGTATAATTCTTTCAGCTGCATATTTATGACTTGTGTGCTTCTCTATATTATATTTCAGTGAAAAATATATTTGATGGTAACGACCTCAAGAACAGAAATAATGAACTAAGTGACCAATTTAGAATGTTATGAAAAAAACAACAAAATCTCAAAGAAAGGAGAAGGAAAGCAATGATAAAGTTAAAAACAGAAATTAATGAAACAGAAAAAAATATATATAATAGAGGGGATTGGTGAAGTTTAAAGTTAAAAATCACTTGAGAAAAACACATACTTTTCGCAATACTTATCAAGAGAAAGAAAGAAGACACAAATAACTTAAAAAAAAGTTAGATACAAATAAATCATATTAGTAATGAGAAGAGGATATTACTGGAGCTTCAGCACACATTAAAAAGATACATAGACTATGATAATCAACTTCATGTTAATTCAGATTAAATGATGCAATGGATAAATTCTTGGAAATGTCTTACCAAAACAGATTGAAAATATATACATACATATATACGTGTGGGAGTGTATATGGTATTTTTAAAAAGTTATCTTACAAGCAGTACAAATAATATCATGTCCAAACACAAATACATATGTTACCTCAACAGATGCAGGAAAAAACACTAATAAAATATACTTCCCATTTACTGTAAACATGTACACCATAAAAAAAAACAGACCAAGTAGAACTGCAAAATCAAAAACCCATGACTATATCTATAATAAAGCATCTCCAGAAAACCAAAGGATGATCAATTGGGAATAACATAACTATCAAGGCCGACATGTACAGGCATTTCTGTGGGAGCAAGAAGAAAGAAGCAATGAAGTATCTCATGGACCAAAAATATCAAAAAGCACTTCCCTGGGAAAAAGACCTTTGCACACTCTTAATTTATAGGTCAGTATAAAGGTTGCCCATTGAGTTCAGGCAGGATTGGAAAACCCTGCTCTCTATGAACTCTTGAAACAAACAAGAAGAATATGCTTTTCAAGACAAAAACCCCAACTGAGGACAAACTGTTGAGAATCATATCCACACTGAGCAAGGCAAGGATAAAAGGGGCAAAGGAAAAGGGAGTGAAAGTCCCAGTAAAAGGGAGGAAAGCATTGGGAAAACAGACTCTAGAAAGTAGAAGACCATCTCTTTATTCATATAGATACAGAGGAGCTTTTCCCCCACAATAATTTTGGGAAAAAAATAAGTGATAGTTCTAGAGATATACTGTTAGAAAACCTTTCCTGGTGTTCTATCCTAAAAGTTGGAGAAAATGAATTTTATATAAAACTGACCAACAGAAAAGGATCACAATTAAATGCCATATAAAATGATTATTTTTTAAAAACAGGAAATTAAAAAGAGGACACAGAAAGATGTGTCCACAAAACAGAGAAAAATGGTAACCTAATATAGAAGAATGATCTACAAAAAAAATCATAAAAAAAAAGAATAACATAAATCAGAATTAAAAAACCCCAGAAATGAGAGAATTCAAAAGTGAATTAGCATAAAAGAAAAAGTTATTTTAGAAAGAAAAAACAAAACCAAAAGAAACACAAGAATAAATATAACAGGATATAATAATATCCTTTTATATATATATTACATGTAACCTATAATAGCATACAATAATATAAATAAATAAGAGAACCATAAGGTATAAGAAAAATATAAAAGTTAAAAAAATTTAAAGTGAAGAAGTTCACTATAGAACTGAAATGAATTTTTGTAAGCACCAAATGAAAATGCCAAAACTTAAAAACATAGAAATTTAAATAACAAACTCAATAGATAGCTTTAATTGCAGATCAGACATACAATAAAACATAATTAATATAAAGACAAACAATAGAAAATAGAAGAATGAAAAACAGAAGAAGTTGAAAGATCTAATATGCATGTAGCTGGAATCCCAGAAAGAAATGGAAAAAGCTCTACAAGCCCCAAGCCAAATTCATGCAAAAAACCCGGCAAAAAACAAAACAAACACACACACACAACTAAGCACATCATAAGAAAATCTCTGAAAACCACAAAGAAAATCTTAGCAGTCAGAGGAAAAAAAATAGCATTACCTTCAAAGGAGCAATAATAAGATTTTTGGTTGATTTTTCATTCTCAACAAAAAGTATAGTAGCCAGAGGTGGGAAAAAACACTAACAAAAAATGAAATGACACCTTTAAAGTACTGAAAGTAACACCAATCCTGAATTCTATACCCAGCAAAAATATCCTTCAAAAAACAAGGGCAAATCAGAAACATTTTAGACAAAAACTGACACAATTTGTCACCAGCTGACCCCACACTAAATTTAACAAGTTAGAGTGTCAGGCAGAAAGAAAATGATCTCAAATAATAACACAGAAATGCAGTAAGAAATAAAGAGCAATAGAAAAAGTAGAGAGTAAGGGAAAAAATGCTGGGCAAAACAAAAATTTCTGGTATTAAAATATATACAGAGTTAAAATGCATCATATATAAATACACTACAATAAACAGAAGTTGCTAGAGGATAGTTATTAAAGCTTGAGCCTAGTTAATCCTCAATATCTCCACTGTGACATAGGAAAGGTCATAAATGATAGTAATGTGTTGAGACTTTTGGTCACCAAAGAAGGCAAATATGAAGTTTGATTTTCTAGTTTCCATATATGTGAGACAACCATTTTCTAAGCCTCAAAAATTAACATAATTTCCAAACCCTCACAACATATACCATGTAAAAGTTATGACCAGCCAACCAACTTTTATTTGAAAAGCTGAAAGATGTGCTTACTGGTAGGAGAAATTATAGCCAATTTGCAACCATGTTTGTAACCAGGATCCACCCCCATCAGGGTGCGCCCTGGAACAGGACTTGTTAAAAGGAGCTGACGAAGGTTCCGTCCAAACATCATTACTGATTCCTTCTCTGCATCTGATGTTAGTTTGGCCCTTTAGAAACCGAAAAATAAAAGGAAACAGAACGGATTTAGTTTTTCATTCACCCAAACTCTCTTCCTGAAAAAGAACAAAATTCATTCCACTTATTCTTCACAGGAATACTTATTGTAACAAAATAAAGGAGGGGCACCTGGGTAGCTCAGTCAGTTAAGTGACAGACTCTTGATTTAGGTTCAGGTCATGATGTCAGGATCGTGGGATCAAGCCCCATGTCAGGCTCTGCGCTAAGCATGGAACCTGCTTAAGATTCTCTCTTTCTCCCTCTGTCCCTCCTCTGCTCCTCCACTCTCTCTCAAAAAAAATAAAGAATAAATAAAAAATAAAGGAAAAAACATCATATATAAAATTATACTATGAGTCGATTTTTGCTAACTGCAGTAATACATGTTACCATAAATAATTCTGAAGCAAATCTGAGGAGTTTGTCATACCTATATTCCTTCTCTATCTGCTCTATGCAAAAATCAATATCTATAAATATCTGTGTATGTGAGAGAAATAGAGCATATAAAGACTTGGACATCACATAGAATGTCAAGTTAAAGCTTACCAGCTGATTAAAAATACAAACACAAAATTAGTTTTTGTTTTAATTTTTTTGTAACATTTCTTTATTTTTAGAAAGAGAGAGACAGAGTGTGAGCAAAGGAGAAACAGAGAGGAGAAACAGAACTTGAAGCAGTCTCCAGGGTTTGAACTGTCAGCACAAAGCCCGAAGCAGGGCTCGAACTCACAAACTGCAAGATCATGATCTGAATCAAAGTTGGACGCTTAACTGACTGAGCCACCCAGGTGCCCCACAAACACAAAATTAGTGATAAATTATCAAATCCTAAGTAATCTCTTCTATCAACACTTAAACTTTTACACTTTTATCTGTACGAATCTGAGTATCTAATCATTCAATTCCATTCCCCACATTGAGTCCCCACCCTGTCATTCTCACAGAGATGTGACATGATCAAGGATACCAGTAAGCAGTCCAGAATCTTGCCTCATGTACATAACTTCCCAGCTTACTCCAAACAAGTTAGTAAGAGTCTAATTTTAAAACTTTTTCTAGAATAAAATATATATGTCCACGATGGACTTAAAGTCCACTGGAAACTAAGTTTTCAACACCATTCATCTTAACAAAAGCCCTGAACATTATCATGTCCTGAAATTCTTAATGAATTTTGTATTAAGACATAACAAGCATGTCTTCGCCACTAGATTAGGTTAAGAAATTCATGCCACGGCCACAAGAAAAGAGTACAAAAGCCACTCAAAGTACATTTCATATCAGTGCTGAGGTACAGTTATCTACATATCCAAAGACACACACAGCTGCCTGGGTGGCTTAGTCGGTTAAGTGTCCGACTTCAGCTCAGGTCAAGATCTCATGGTTTGTGGGTTCAAGCGCTGTGTCAGGCTCTGTACTGACAACTCAGAGCCTGGAGCCCACTCTGGATTCTGTATC